CCTAAAATTGATTGATCTTATAATATGCTCAAGTTCCTAAAAGTCTTTTTCCCAGTTTGTAACAAAAAGGCATTGCCCTTATCCATCCATATATATAAAAGCCTAAGCGACCGTTATGGCAGAACGACTGGTCGACCAGTCACTATGATGTGCACTGACCACCAGGGGGCAGATGCTCAATGCAGGAGCTGCCCCCTGGTGGTCAGTGTGTTCCCACAGGGAAGTACTGCTCAGCCAGAACTGGGCTCACAGCTAACGAGGGCAGCTGCAGAGGCGGGAGCCTCTCACGACTCCACCAGGCACAGTGGGCCAGGGTAAGCGTGAGCATTGCAGTGCCTGGCCCTGGTTTTGGCTCCTCCCTGGCCACCAACCCCTGGCACACTGCTACATCCCTCTCACAATCCGGGACCCCTCGGAGCCTAAACCAGCAATCTGACATCCCCCGAGGGGCCCCGGGTTGCGAGAGGGCTCAGGCCAGGCTGAGGGACAACCCCCTCCAGTGCACAAGTTTTGTGCACTGGGCCTCTAGTCCCAAATATTGCTCTAGAAGTGAAAGCCACACAAAGGTAAAACCTTTAATGATTCATTGACCTTATATAAGAATTTCTTTTCTTTATAAATATTTCTGTTGAGAGTAAGGCATTGGGTATTTTTGTTGGCGTTCAATGTGTTACAATGATAAAGTCAGAGCATGTTTTTCTTAAATCATACAAAATATATATTATAGTAACTGAGTCTAATATCATCTGATAAAATATTTAAAACTTTCTATTTCCTATTTATAAGATCTTATTTTTAAAATATTTTTAAAATTTATTTTAGAGAGGGAGAGAGAGATGCAAATATCAATGAAGCCTGCTACCCAGGCATGTGCCCTGGCCGGGAATTGAATCATGACTTCCTGGTTTATAGTTGATGCTCAACCACTGAGCCACACTGGCTGGGCTAAATCTTTATTTTTTAAAATATATTTTTATTGATTTAAGAGAGGAAAGGAGAAATATCAATGACGAAAGTCATTGATCGACTGCCTCCTGCATGCCCCCTACTGGGGATTGAGCCCTCAACCTGGGCACCTGCCCTTGACCAGAATTCAAACCTGGGACCCTTCAGTCTGCAGGCCGATGTTCTATTCACTGAGGCAAACCAGCTAGGGCTAGACCTCTTTTTTTTTTATTTTTTAAATGCATTTTATTGATATTTTACAGAGAGGAAGGGAGATAGTCAGAAACATTGATGAAAGAGAAACATCGATCAGCTGCCTCCTGCACACCCCCTACTGGGGATGTGTCCGCAACCAAGGTACATGCCCTTGACCAGAATCGAACCTGGGACCCTTCAGTCTGCAGGCCGACGCTCTATCCACTGAGCCAAACCGGTTAGGGCTAGACCTTATTTTTAAATGGCTGCCAGACAGACATTTTTAGCAGACTAAAATGTTTCTTTTATTAGATTTATTTTAAAAGTTGGATCATGATTCTTCTCAATCACGTACAGTGGGGCCTTGACTTACGAGTGTCCCGACTAAATGAGTTTTTCGAGATACGAACAGTCTCTCAGCCGATTTTTTGCTTTGAGTTGCGAGCTAAAATTCGGGTTACAAGCCAGCTTCAGATACCCCACCGCTAGTTGGCGCAGCGAACGTCACAGTGAACGCCACAACA